ATTAGGGTCCTACACTTCCTTCCGTAGAGCATCTCGAAGGGAGATCGATCTATGCTAGCGTGGTAACTATTGTTATACGAAAATTCTGCTAACGGAAGATACGTATCCCAACTGTCGCCAAAATCTAATACGCATGCGCATAGCATAACCTCTAGAGTTTGAATCATCCTCTCACTCTGCCCATTCGTATGAGGGTGAAAAGTTGTACTGAAGTGAAGACGAGTACCCATCTCATCATGAAACTGCTTCTAAAATCTGGGAGTGAAGCGAACATCTTGGTTTGACACAACCGAAACCGGCACTCAATGACGTGCCACCACATCGTATACATAGATCTTGGATAGCTTCTCAGCTGATATACTCTCCTGGATCGGGATGAAGTGTGCACACTTGGTCAACTATACGTGCAATCCTTGGTAGCTTTGTGATGAAATCCATAGTGATGTCTTCCCATTTCCAAACGGTAGTCTCCAACTGCTACATCTTGCCATGAGGTCGCTGGTGCTCGGCCTTGACTTTCCTACAAGTCAAAGATCTCTCTACATACCAAGCTATGTCCTGCTTTATGCAGGGCCATCAATAATCAGGGCAAAGATACCGATACATCTTCGTTGCCCCGGGAAGAATGGAGAATCTCGACTTGTGAGCCTCCTCCATCAGAACCCGACGTACACCACCCTAGTAAGGAACCCAGACCCTCTGATGCAGGTTCAATAACCCAAGGTTTTCCTAATCAAATGAAGCCACCTGACCTATGAGCCGCTCACTCTTCCGACGCTCCTCCTTCATACCCTCGACCCGAGCCTCCCAAATCCGTTCCAACAATGGAGTAATCAATGTCATCCTAATGCATATATCCCAAATCAGAGCCGTTACCACCTTGCGGCTGAAAGCATCGACCACCACATTAGCCTTCCCCGGGTGATAAAGGATCTTGCACTCATAATCCTTCACCACATCCAACCAACGACGCTGCCTCATATTCAGATTCGACTGATCCATCAGGTACCTCACGCTCTTGTGGCCCGTGTAAATGGTACAACAAACCCTATAGAGGTGGTGTTGCTAAATCTTGAGGGCAAAAACCACATCCCCCAGCTCCACATCATGCATCAGATAGTTTACCTCATGAGACTCCAGTTGTCTCGACGCGTACGCAATCACACGACCCTGATGCATCAGCATTGCATCCATACCTGTGATCCAAGCGTCACAGTAAACCACAAAATCATCGATGCCCTTGGCAAAGTCAGAATCGGTGCCTCGTACAACCGCTGTTTGAGAGTCTTGAAAGTTGTCTGTTGCTTAGGTCCCCCGATGGAACAAAGAATCGAGTATGAAATGAATCAGAGTAAATGTTTATGAATCAATTAGTAATTGAACACACGATGTAAATAAGATCTTCACTTCAGCTCAATTAAGCTCTAAGAGTTTTTACAGAGAGAATAGACAATCCTGTTCAAGTAATCTAACTGTAACATCCAGATTCCCAGGTATATTATTATAATATTTTATTTTTGGAATTTGTGAAGTAACTCGGCGAGTTGATGCTTACACTCACCGAGTAGGGTTGCGGATTATCATCCGGGTTCGCGTCTGGACTCGGCGAGTCCATTAGTGGACTCGGTGAGTCCATGCTGTTTAATGAAACCCTAATCCCCCGGGGTTGGAGCCTATCTAAGGGCACTCATAGTCCCCCATTGCGGCTACCAGTCCCTTGAGAGAACCCTAAGTGAGCTAAATCGTTTGGGAGGAAGGAGAAGCCATATTTGATCTTTCTATCTTTGTTTTAGCAAGAAGAAGGTGATCAAGAGCAAGAGGAGACTAAAGGAGGTGTGATTCTAGTGGTTTCAGAGTCCAGAGACTTCAACACTAGGTATTTATTCAGACCTTCTTCAGTGTTGGTATTGATTCTTAGAGTTAGGGTTTTCTAACCTCTTTTGAGGATGGTTATGTGGAGCAATTGGTCCCTTCTCGAGTTTATGCTTTGGATCTGGACCGGATCTGGACTCAAAGAGGTCTAGAGACCTTAACCCTTGGAGCTTTATGAATTATCTTGGGAGTCATGAGCTTAGAATGTCATTTTTGGGGCTAAATCACCAAATGAAACCATCTAGATGATATATAAGTGTCAAGGTCTGGACTTTACGTGATTATTATGCTTGGGAAGGCCAAATCTATGGATTAGAGGAACAGATCTGACCTTAGGAGGTCAATGGAGTTTGTGCATGGCATGTACTCGCATAGTTGTTCTTGAGACTCGGCAAGTTGAGTTGGGGTGGCCCCACGATTCAAACCTGGGGACTCGACGTGTTAAATGGGACTAAAGAGTTAGTGGACACATGTGGACTCGCCGAGTAGCCCAAGTGCACTCGACGAGTCAGGTCAAAGTTTGACTGTTGACTTTTAGGGTTTGGTCAACAATGAGGGCCTTTGAGCCAAAGGAGGGGTAAAATGGTCTTTTACCCTTTTGAGGGTTCCTAGAGAGGGTTGAGTCTAGTTCTGAGAGTTATATTTATAAGAGTATTACTTTATGTGTTTAGGCGGAGGCTAGATCGTATTTCTACCGAGTCAGTGATTTACCGGGACATCTGAGGTGAGTCTTCTCACTATACTTACCTTGAGTGGTACTTATAGTTATGTGATAGAGTTATCGTATGCTATTATGTGATGTGTTGTATTGCATTATTTCTATGTGGTTTATATCATGTGTATATCAGAGTATATCAAAGTTAGAACCGAAAGGTTCACAGAGTTAGGACAAGAGGGTCCACAGAGTTAGGGCCCACGGGCCCACAGAGTTATAGCCTCGAGTGGCTAGTATGTGTTATGTATGGTATTTTGGGGAACTCATTAAGCTTTATGCTTACAATGTTATGTGTTATGTGTTTACCAGTGATGATCGCGGGAAGGCGCCGACATGATTTGTACACACGCATGGATTTTTATGTATTTTGATCTTGGGAAATATTTTGTGAAACAAAGTTATGATACAATAGGATTTTGTTGATAAATGTGTTTGGAAAAATGTGTTTAAAAATGTGAAAATTTGTTTTAAATTTTACGGTGTTACACTAACTCTAGTAAACGATCCTATTTATAGGATACATAAAGCGTACAAAAAATATACTAAGGCTAAAACACTTAAGCTTCGAATCAAAAGAGCCCTAGTAAAATATATTACAGACCATACGAAGAGTACACAATAGGCTTCGACTCATTACAACCAAACTACCCTTACATTCTCCCCCTTTGTAAATAGAGTTGAAGACTTCAGTTCGTAAGCAGTTGAATGGAGTACAACATTACTCTTCGTATCTCAGTGTACCATGAGATAATCTTCTTCGGTTCTCTTTTATCCCCATCATTATTCTTCTTGCAATGATTCATATGAACAATCAAGTTCGTATATTGCGAAGTTGAATACCTTTTGACCTCACTTGCCTGGAATAAAAACCGTTTTGATTTTCCTGACTTGTCCTTCCTAGAGAAGACTAAACCAAAAGGCTTCAAGCAGATTTCACCATCAACATATTTCTTTAAATCTGCTTGTGTCTTCGAAGGAGCCATAGGTGCTGTAATTTCCAGTCCTTTATCTGTAGCCAACTCCACATCCGTTAATACTAATCATGCATAATAATTTTCAATAAAAATCTTGATGTGAGTAACTCCCAGCTTGTACTCATCAGGATCTGTGTTCTGAAGATATGAAAAAGACCTTTCCTTCAACAATAATGCAACTTATATAAGATCATACAAGTTTATTAAAGGAAAGTCAGCAATTGTAAACTCGCACACATTCTCATTTGCCCTGGTCACCACATACTTCATGTTTTGGATTGTGTTTTCGAAAACCACATCCTTCTTTATGCTTATGTCCTTCTTTATCTTTGTCAATGACCATACTTCTTTAGCAAGCTTCGCAAGAACCGCATGAAACCTGATTTTTATTTGAGTTCCTTCATCCTTCTCCTTGAACTTGCTTTCTGCTTTAAACTAAGGCATGATGAACATCATTTCGTTAATTGGAAAGTCAAACTGTCTTCCATCCGTATTCGTGACAATGTAACTCTGTTTTGGCTTCTTTTCAAACGAATACATGTGATTAAATGCAACCTTGGCATCAATTGTTTCATAATTGTAGTGCTTTGATGGATCACCCTTGTTCATTCCAGGAGGATCACTAGCCCTTTGAGTCATTATGCTTTGAATCAGTCTCGTATTTTCTAGTTCTGCCTCAGCCTCTGCCTTCTTTTCTTCTTTAGATTTTTCTATAATAATTGACTTTCCCCTAGCATTCGAAGCTGATTCTTCAATCACTTCTTTTGCCTTCGAATCACTCCCACCAGTGTCAGCAGATTTACCAATCACAATTCCTTTCGAAAGTGGTCTTGTGATTGGCATAGTTGTTACTACTGTTGAAGAGATATGACCAACAGTTTCTATCACTGGATTTGTTGTTAGGAACTTTGAAGGAAACACCTTTCCCACCACTTTCGCATCTTCACCTCCAGCCTTCGAACCTTCACTTTTCCTTTCTCCCCATTGCACCCCTGTACTAGCAGGTGGGGTATTCGTTGTGGGAAGAAGGCTGGATATACGTGAAAGAGGAGCCAATTGTTGAAGTAGTAAGGCTTCGAATTTAGAAAATTTCTGGATAAGATCTTCGGAAGATAGCGGAGAAGACAAAGGTGTTGTTAAAGATAAGGCTTTAAGCTCCTTTAACATTGTGAAAACTTCCATAAAATTTTTGTTTCCAGTTGTAGAAAGTTGAGCAATTTGAGGACTCAGACTTTCATATAACTTGGCAAATTTTGTAACTACATTACAGATTATATCCACCTTCTGATTGAGAGATGCAAATTCGGTGCGAACAACTGCAATCTCTTTCTCCATGTCTTGTCGAAGCTCTTGGAGTTTAAAATTCACATCTTCTCGCACTTTCTTCACATCTTGAACAAATAAGACATGACGTTGCTTTGCCACCAATTTTAATTCTTTCAAGTCACCTTCAAAAGTAGATTTCTGAGAATTTACCCTCATCTCATTGCTATGATCACAAATATCAATTTTCTCTAGGAGATGAGACTCAGAGTCTTTTATCATTCCCGAAACCTTTGAAGTAATCCTCCCTTTAAGCAACTTTAACAGACCATCCACTTCTAGACTGGTCACTGAATTTCCTCCCCCAAGATCAGCCTGTGATTGAAGAATTGAATTGAGCTTTGTATTCAATATCTTAAACTGCTTCGTTGTCATGAGCATGTGATTTGGGAAGTTAGTTTCTTCTTCATCAAACTCTAAATTTTCAAATGTTCCTCCAAAACCTTCTGACTCATGCTCAGTTTCCATAAAAGAAGAATATTGAATTGGTGAAGTTGTGTTAGGTGGATCAGTGGATTGTGAAGAAAAAAGAGATGTAATTGGTTGTTTGATAGGAATCAGTGAATCAGTGGTGGATGTAGTAGGAATGATAGGTGTGAGTTGTGGAGGTAAAGAAACAATAATGTCTGAGGTAACATCCGAAGTTTTACCTTGGTCTCCTGTATGCGAAGCATCCTCACCCATTGTGACATTTGCATCCGTATGTGAAACGTTTACAAATATGTCAAAAGTTCGTGCCTCCTTAGAAACTGACTTGGAAACCGAATCTTCGGGTGGTATAACATCAGTTTGTGCAGGATGAGAAGATTCTTTCTGAACATCGGCTTCTAGAGTTTCTGGAATTGTTTCATTTTCATCAGCAGTAGACTCAGAGGAGATGACAATCTTACTTTTCTTCTTCTTCTTTGAGATGTATTTGGCCATATCAGTTGCCCTTCGTTTCTTAGAAGATGGTGAAGCAGGTGCAGGAATCTCACGAAAGAGAAGTCCTTGATACGAAACCTGTGGTTTTCGGATAACATTTGTTAGTGGAGATCGACTCTTATGTTTGGATTTCATTTTGATTCTACGAAAGACACCAGTCTTTGAAGGAATGATTTCCTTTTGAGTTAATGGTGTATCAGCAATGGAAATTTCGGGTTTTGTTGGCTCTGCTTCTGTAATCGGTAACTTCTTCGGACTCTTTGTAGATTTAGATTCTTTGACTTGTTTCTCAGAAGATCCAGCAGCAGTCTTCTTTGAACGTTTGGACTTCGTCTCTTCTTTTCTTGCCAAAAGAACTCCAGTTTCAACATAGGTATCGATGGTTTGCAAGTTAGTGACTAGAACTGTGTTGGTAGGATCAACTCGTTTAAGCATGGCATCAGGAATACGAGCAACAACTGGAAACTCTTCAGTATCATCAGTTGCATCCTTCGGAAAACTATACACATGGAACACAACTTTTTCTTCATCTGCAGGAACCAGAATCCCCTCCTTCTCATAAAAATATTGTAGAATCAAGCTCCAGTATCGGGCACACAAAATGCCATGAAGAGCATTCGTGTTTTCAATACTCTTCAAGAACTCTTTACATAACTGAGTAGAGTAATCAACTTGAAGATCATAATATAAGCTTGTGACTGATATGTGCATAATTAGTTAATTATTTAGCATATATTCTTAGTTATTTTTGATTAATTATGTGAATAATGTGGACAAAAGGTACTTAAAATGTTGTGAATTTTGTTTTGTCCAAAAGATATGCTTGGAAGCAAAAAGGAGAAAAGGGAAGCAATTGAAGATCAAAGGGTGAAAGAAGGTGATATACTCGGCGAGTAGATCGACCCTACTCGGCGAGTACACGAGGATATTCCAGAAGATAAATACGACTGCTGATTCAAGACGGATAAGTATGGATCTACTCGGCGAGTTGATTATGCTACTCGCCGAGTACACCCTGTTTTGGGATATCTATAAAAGATGAATCCTTATCTCATGGGAAGATACTCCTGGCGATTTTTGAAGGTTTAGCTGCGACTAAGAGATTGAGAAGGTGCTAAGGAACCCTAGGCTTCAATAGTTGGAAGAATTCAAGCAATTAGGTTAATTCTACCACTTAGACTTAGGAATTGAATATGTTTGCTTTAGTAAACTTTGTTTTTATGTTTGTTTCTACTGCAATTATGAGCTAAATTCGTTTTTGTTTCTGTTTGGGGAATACCAAAGAACTCCTATGGTTTGATTATTGATTCTTGCTTAATTGTGTATTGGTGATTTATTAAATTAAGTTTGTTAAAGAACCTTATGTATTAATCACTACTATTTTCTGTTAATTGGAAGACAATTAGGTTGCATGAACATCACTTAATTGTTAACCTCATATGTCTATGTGAATGCTAAACCATATGCTTAGAAGTAATGATTATGAAACTAAGATTAATAAGAAAATAGGAAGATTAATGTGTGAGCTTGTTTGAGAAACCATCAACAAGAGGTTAATTGAATTAATAACTTAATTAACCATTCCAAATCTTATTTAATCCAAATAATTAATCTGGGGGAATTAATTAGTTTAAACACTTGATCAACGCTTAAATTAGTTAATTGTCTAAGGGTTAGGAGTAATGAATATGAACCTAACTATTATAATTGGTAACCAATAGCAATTAATCTACCTTAAACTTAAATAACCATAGGAGTGAATTGGTTGAACCTAAATGGAAACATCTTTATCAAATTTGGTGAATAGTTGTTGCTTTAGTTAATTAGTTAATTTAGTTTGTCTAAGTTTCTAGTCTTGCAAAACTAGAGAAAAACCCTTTACTTTTATTATTTGTTTTAGTTAAAATTAGCTATTAGTTTAATTTTCCGTTCCCTGAGTTCGAGACCTTACTTATCAATCTATACCACTTAAAGACAGGTTCACTGCCTTTGTGTGCTTAATTTATTAATAAAAAGTAGGGATAAAACTAGTTGATTTTACACACATCAAGTTTTTGGTGCCGTTGCCGGGGAACGGTTCTAAATAATTAAGCTAATTCCTAATTTTGTCGATCCTTTGGGTGAGTTTACTTGCATAAAGTTCATTTATTGCAATTTAGTAATTAGTAATTAAGTTTTAGTATCTGTTTTAGTTAGTTTAAAACTTAGAAATTTTTTTGAAATATCACTGATACTCGCCGAGTGCAATCGCACCTACTCGGCGAGTAGCAGTTTAGTCAGCAGTAGATTTTCTTTACTTTTACAATCTTTTTGTTCTTTTTACGCTTTTTATTTAATTGATTTCAGGACTTTCATGACCAGAGGAGCAAACACACCACTGGTACCCCCGTTTGAAGACCCCGAATCCTCATTGAAAAGAAACAAAGGGAAGGACGTGGAGAGTTCAAGCACACCAAAGAAATCACCATTATCCAACTTGAAGACTGTGTTTGGGAAAAAGAAGAGCAGTAAATCAGGAGCTTCTAGCGCTTCTTTGATAATTGAGGAGCCAATTCAAGAAGATATTGGATACGAGACCGAGGAAGAAGAGGAGGCAACGTACGAGCAAGAAACCGAGTCGGAGGAAGAGTTAGCGTTCACTATGGCTAACATTGATGAAATCCCCATGGGAGAATGGAAGAAGAGGATGCGCGACGACCATGGCCCGGGACTTGTGCAACCCGCAATTCCCGCGACTGCTACCTTCGAGCTAAAAGGTCATATCCTAGCTTCACTCAAGGAAATACCTTTCTATGGGAAAGATCATGAAGATGCCTACAAACATTTGGATGAAGTAAATGATGTTGCTGATTACTTCAACATTCCAAATGTAACCCGCGAAACTCAACTACTTCGTATGCTTCTGGTAACCTTCAAGGGTGCTGCTAAAGACTGGCTCAAGTCACTTCCCCCCGGATCAGTCACTACTTGGGCCAGAATGAAGGAAGAATTTATTGATCACTTTTGCCCACCATCCAAGATAGCCAAACTGAAGAAGGCCATTGCAAACTTTGAACAACAAGTTGGAGAGTCTTTATATGAAGCATGGGAGAGGTACAAAGGTCTGCTAAGAAATTGCCCACACCATGTTCTAAATAGCCAGCAAGAAGTTTCCATCTTCTATGATGGATTCAATGTCACAACCTGGCAGTTGCTAGACTCGCAAGGCCCACTTACAAAGAAGCCACCCCCGGTGATTAAAGAATTGATTGAAGAATTCTCTAAACACTCTAGAGAATACCACAACCCTAGGAATGATGTCACGAGGGGAGCCGCATACGCTGATACTGAAGATTTATCCGCGGTCATGGCCATGTTAAAAACCATGGATAGGAGAATGGACAAAATGGATCAAACTATCCATGCTATACGGGTGGGTTGTGAAAACTGCAATGGTCTTCACCTCACTAGAGATTGTGATTTGGATGAGAATGGCAACAAAAAGGCACAAGCATGTTATTCGAGCGGTGACCGGTATGATGAGGACTGGCGCAAACAAAAGAAAGAGTGGCTGCCTTACGAAGAGTACAAGAAGGCCAAGGAGGAGAAGTATAGACAAAAAGGGAGAGGCTTTTATTAAAAGGAGGAGCCGGTGCAAGAGAGGAAGCCAAGCTTGGAAGATATGCTTACTAAATTTGTGGCCGCTTCCGAGAAAAGACATAGTGACCATGATGCTGCTATCCAAGAAACAAGAACAATGCTCAGGAACCAGCAAGCATCCATCCACAACATAGAAACGCAGCTTGGGCAACTTGCTCAACAACTAAACCAAAGGTCACCGGGTGAGCTTCCTAGAAAAACCGAGAACAACCCACGAGGCGCACAAGTAAACATTGTCACAACAAGAAGTGGGAAGATCATCACTCCCCTGGCCCCCATTCGAACTGAAGCAACCAGGGACTCGCAGAAGGAAGGAACGGAAGAACAAGCAGAAAACCAAGATTCACAATCTGAGAGTTCTACTCGCCGAGTAGGGCCGATGGACTCGGCGAGTACCCCAGCTAAAACGAATGAAAAGCCTCCCTTGAAGCCATACCAGCCTCCAATGCCATACCCAACCCGAGCCAAGAAAGAGAAGCAGGAAGAGGAATATCAGAAGTTTCTAGACCACATTAAAACTCTTCAAATCAACATTCCTTTTATTGAAGCAGTCATGCAAATGCCCAAGTATGCTAAGTTCCTTAAGGAACTCCTCACCAACAGAAGAAAGATGGAGGAAGTGCAGAAGGTAGTGCTTAATGAGAACTGCTCCGCCGCAATGCTAAACAAGTTACCAAAGAAGAAGGGTGATCCGAGGAGCTTAACTTTACCTTGCCAATTTGGCAACTTGGCTGCAATTCATGCCTTAGCTGATTCTGGAGCAAGTGTGAACCTTATGCCATAATCGTTCTTTAAGAAGCTAGACCTCCCGGAGCCAAGGCCAATTCGAATGGAAATTCATTTGGCAAACAAGACTGTCACCTTCCCAAGAGGCATTTGTGAAGATTTGCTAGTGAAAGTGGACAAATTTGTCTTCCCGGCTGATTTCATCATTCTAGACATGGAGGCGGATCCGCAAGTGCCAATTATCCTTGGAAGGCCCTTCCTCAACACAGCTAGCTATCGTAGACATGAGAGATTCTAAGCTCACATTGTGAGTTGGGGACGACTCAGTAACATTCGGGGTAGACCAAGCCATGAAGTACTCAAGGAGTAGTGACGACACGACTTTCTCAATCGACATGCTCGACGAACTATTAGAGGAAGACATACCTGAAGATTCCAACAAGTTTGCAGCTCTGGATGAAGCATTTGACCCAGAAAAGGACTTACTAGAGATTGAAAGACTGTTGGAAGAAGCGGAGTATGAAGAAATAAAGAAGCAATTTGAGAGCCCTACTCGTCGAGTAGACCCGATCTACTCGCCGAGTACATCTGAAGAAAAGCCAGAAGTCGTGAATGCAGCTGCAAACTCGCCGAGTACCATACCTGCACTCGGCGAGTCCGTCACTAAAAACAACCAATTGGAGCTTAAAACACTACCTGACCATCTGGAGTATGCCTTTCTGGAAGAAGGAAATCAGAAACCTGTGATCATAGCCTCGGATCTATCCAAGACGGAAAAGGAAGAACTTGTACACGTGTTGAAGAAAAGGAAAAGAGCCATCGCATGGAGCATCTCCGACATCAAGGGAATAAGCCCATCCTATTGCTCTCACAAAATCAATTTAGAAGAAGGAGCAAGGCCGGTGGTGCAACATCAAAGACGATTGAACCCGAACATGCAAGAAGTCGTCAAGAAGGAGGTGGTCAAGCTCTTAGATGCAGGAATCATCTACTCCATTTTTGATAGTCCATGGGTGAGTCCGGTCCAAGTGGTGCCCAATAAAGGAGGAATGACGGTCATCACCAACGAA